TAAAAACTCCACATGACTTGGAAGAGCACCGGCATCTGTGAGTGTGCCTGGAGTCTGCCTACTTGCCAAAAAGTAAAGAGAAACTCACAATGACTTCACGTCTGCCATGCTACCAAAGCCTAAAACAGTTTATATTGGGGGCTGAAGAAGACTGAAAACCAAAGAGTGTGAGCCACAGAGACACTTTTCTACTTTTTTCACCTAGTTTGTGAAAATCAGAGATTTTGCATAATTTAAACATAGCTTAGAAACAGGCTAGATCTCCCCTGGGGGGTGGAATGCTGTGCTTCATAAACACTTAACACTCCCTGGACGAGAGAGAGAGATCCCTATTCAGTCCACGCTAGGAGCAAAGGGTATGGAAACCCAAAAACTAAAAGTATAATTTATTGCAGCTTACTAGGCTTGAAATGTTTTGGCTGCATTAATTTCCTTTTTTTTTATCATTTCTCCCTATATTTTCAGTAACAACTCCTACCTCCTGTCCCTGGGTGACAACCCGCGCTCAGTGTACCGTATGGAGGAACAGCCTAGTCATCCTAGGTTGCATTCTCTGGATTTGGATTACAGAACATTTCCCTCCTTTTAGCTCCATACCATGGGGAGGTATACTGTAGTTCACAGAGGAAACTTGGGCAGGGCTGATAAGACTCTGAAATTTCAGTGCAGCAGAGGAACTGTGTTGTCAACTCAGCACATAAGTTACAAGCGAACAGATATAGGAAAACATGTTCAATGTTATATTTCAAAAAGCAACTCGGGGCACTTGAGAAGTTAATTGTTAGGGTTTACGTACATATTAAAGCTCAACCCCAGCCAAAAAGCTTTTTTAAAGTTTGGATAGAAGGTGGAGAAGAACTTCTGCTAGGTTTGCAATGCTGGCCAGGAGTCCATGCGGGGTTGGGTATTTTCTCTTCAGTTTGTCTCAGCAACACGAATATAAGAACTATGGGACTAGCAGTTACTGAGACCAAACTGAACAGACAAGAAAAAACTTTACAGAAGTTCTAATGTTTTCCCTCTGCACTAGAAAATTTGTTTTTGTTGCTTTCCCCACATCAGATAACTCCCATTACCCTCTAAACACATTTCCGTTACCCACTGTCCCTCTAAACCCCATTCCCCACTGTCCCTCTAAACCCCATTCCCATTACATACTTTCCCTCCTGTCCTTCTCACCCCATTCCCATTACCTAATGTTCCTCTGAACCCATTCCCTTCGGTATCTCAAAACTCATTCCCATTACCTAATGTTCCTCTGAACCCATTCCCTTCGGTATCTCAAAACTCATTCCCATTCCCTACTGTTTCTCTGAACCCATTCCCATTAGCTAATGTCACTTCTGACCTATTCCCTACTGTCCCTCTGTACCCATTCTTATTACCTACCGTCCGTCTGAACCCATTTGCATTGACTACTGTCCCTCTGAACCCATTACTTACTATCCCTCTGAACCCATTCCCATCACCCAAAGTCCCTCTGAAGATATGTCACCAGGATAGAAGTGAGAGGAAATCTCAAAAGGATACAGCAATACAAAAACAAAAAACAGATTCTTCCCTACTCTATCCAAAACAAAAGTTGGGCTCTAAACAATTAGACATTTCCCAGCACAGATAAGACCCAACCCATAAGTCCATTCATGAATTATACAAATTTTTTTTTTTTTAAACACCCAATAATAGTGCAAATCCTAAGTGCAAAGGAGTGCTCTGTGTACAGAACTAGTATTACATACTGCAGGCGAATGGCGTTTTCTTCGTTTTTGACAATGACATATCTGGTTCCCGTCAACACAATGCTAGAGGCATTGAAATCTGAGGTTTCTGCTTGATGTGTATTTACAGTGAAACTCCGGGCATGGAGATTTTTGCAAGTCATGATGTGTAAAGAAATGATACCTCTTCTCTGCCGTAAAAAATGGCCGTATCGCTTCACAGTACTTTGAAATGAATGTACAACATGTCTGCTGCATAGTACAGCTCCCTCTGTATTTGTAGAAATGTGAAGTGTGGGTCGCAGTGTGATTTTTCCTGACACCCCCCCCAACCCTTGACCATTTACACAATGCTGTAGCAGAAAGGTAGCTGTACATTCAAATCATGAAATTATGATGAATGAATCATTTTATTTAGAAAATCTACCCTGTTGGAAAATCCAATCTAATCTGACCCAGGCATTCTTTTAAAAGATTGCTGAAAACAAATCTAAAGACCAATTGATCACCTGTTCTCTGTGTGACAAGAGCTAGTTACATACATTTGCAAATATATATGGAAGATGCCTGTTGCACCAAGGAGTTATTGAGTCATGGAGTGCAACTTGCACTGCGTGAAGCAATGGCCCCTTGGTGCAACAGGCACCGTGATGTGGCATGCAGCTGTCACATATTTTTGCAGATGTATGGAGCTAGAAATCTTAAACTAGAAGCTGACTAGAAAGATCCATTTGCTTAGATGAAGGGCTAAGAGCTGGGAGAACTTTATGTGTTGTGGGTATTCAGTTGCCCACCCTATAAGCATACCTCCCAACTATTTGTGCTGAATGGTGGCCCTCTTTAATGTCTCAAAGTATGCAGGCAAAGGACACACAAGAATTAATATGGAAAAGAAAAAAAAACTGTTTAAACCAACAAGTGCTTTTTTCACCACTGCTTTCCACAATAACAATTGCAAGAATTTAAAGGTTGTATCAAAGAGTTAGTTAATATAGTAATATATATATATATATATATCTCAGACCAAAAAGACGACCGAGAGGGAAAGAGGGATAAAAGGAATTTAGTTCCAAAAGAAGGACAGTACCATCAAATGAGGAATAGTTGGGAGCTATGCATTAGTTTAAACTGATTGAGTGGTTGCCAATTTGTTTTGTAAGAACAAATTACATCATAGGTGGAGATGAGCAACTCAGTGTAGTAGTGTAGTCACATGCACTCAACTGGACCTGTTCTGTCATGTTGAAGACGTCTAGACGCTCATCCAAATAGCTTTTTCAGCTCTAATGTGTGTTCCTAACATACAGTATATAGAGGTAAGGAAACCACATGAACACATTTTAAGCACATCTTTAACATGACAGAGCATGTCCCGTAGAATGTGGCTAACTATTACCGGCTATGCCATGACCTGAATAAGTGAGAACCTTTTTAGACATCTAGTGAATACATTCTATCTGCTCTTCTCCATGTGTAATATAACCATCACAAACCATGAGCTAAACATTACCTTTGCTGGTGAATCACAAATCACCATTTTCACTAAATGCTGATCACCACCAAGTAGATAACACAAATCTGCTGGTATGCATTTAAACTAAATCTGTCAGGAAAGACAGGCAACTGCCATTAATTAGATTTTGAAGTTGCATGCTATCATCTACGTTTCACCATTTACCAAGTTGCTAACCCAGAACATACATGTGTATACAAGCTATGCCAATATTGGATATAAAAAACACACATATTCTGCCCAGACACACTCTAAAGGATGATGGCCCTAGGGCAAGTATCATTGGAAAGTTCTAATAATGGCAGCTTATGCCTATCCTGACAGGCTCAGGAAAATGGGACATCATGACATGCCTGGAAATTTGCATGCATAGACCAGTTACACACACAACTTTATTGCAAAGCCACCTACATCCAGCCCACTGAAGTTAAGGCTAGGGCTACCACCTTTTCTTCAAGCGAAACCCGAACACTCTAGCGACGCGCTGACATTTTTTTGGGGAGAATGAGTCGTTGCTTATTAGTATGTAAATAGTGCCGCCCATTAATATGCAAATATCACAGTTGAGACTTTTTTTTTTTAGTGGGGGGGCCAGTAGCCCCTATCCTAATTCAGGTTGCCCCTGTCTGCCTGACATTTTGTGTCCGGGTTTCTGCTGCCACAAAACCTGGACACTGCATTCAAAACCTGGACTGTCCAGGTAAATCTTGGACAGGTGGCAACCCTATATACACCTGCTTAAAAAATATTATTAAATGGGACAAGTTATAAAGCAATATATCGATCTTTGGTTTCTCACATAGGTATCCTGTCTGCAGCACATTCTCTATAAATAACATGAAGTCTGTAGGACACTTTTTTGTGCATGTGCATAACATGGAGCATATTTGGCATCTAATAGAACAAGTGGTGTATTTCTTTAGCTCTCGATTTTGCATAGCCCAAGTATGTGGTCATAGGAAACATAGAAAGATTTACCATTTAGAAACCTGGCACTAGGACATGGTGACACACAGGCTTATCTGTGATCTATACACGGTTATCTGTATATTTAGGAAGCAGGGAGTGGAGCGAATAAAAAGGGTGGGACGCAACCTTTTCAAAATCTTCCTGATATCTCACGATTTAAACAAAAAAAAAAAAGCAGGTTGCACAATATTGAAACATTATTTTGACTACTTAGTAACCTTAAAACAAAACACAGATTGCTGAAACTATTGTTTAACCAGCCAGCCCAACTGCCCATTCCAGCATGCTGCTGCTATTCAGTACTTCTGATTCAACCCACACCCATCTCAAGAAAATATAATTCACCTAATTCTACAGTGATAATAAATCGGAGCATATATTAAAGAGGTTCTAGAGTAATGGGTCAAGCTCTCCATTCACAAAGGGAGACTAATCAGCAAATTAATAGCCATTAGCTCAGTAAAACTGCCCTAGATATAAGAGGGTGGTGGGACATGCAGCCACCAAACCAATGTTGGTCTGCTTGCACATAAACACTTGGCCAAGCATGCAATATTATATCTACTGAGCAGTGATCATTGCTGATCTTCAGAGGGTACGAAAGCAACTGAACAAGGTTTTTGAACCTTTACAACTGTAGCCAACCAGTAGATATCTTCTGTTGCCATATGCATGAAATATTCTATTGCATGGCTAAGGACTATATACAGAAAGATCTAGCAGCAGTGTCAGAGTAAGACTGGAGCATGCCTGCACATCTAAACAATCTTCACCATGCATTGCTGCATGTAGAGTCTTACCTCTTCATCTTTCTCAAGCTCCAGACCAGTCTCCATCAGGTTACCTTCATATTCCTCCCTGCGGAATCTTTTGTCATCTTCATGATAGTCTATTCTGGGTTCTGCTTCTGGAGATTCTAGGTCAGCACCTCCACCAGGAAGATGGTGGCTTTCTTTAGACCCCCGAGAAGAGTGCACGGAGTTGTTATGGTGGGACTTTTTACTTGGAGTTCGGTTACCGGAAGACTTCTTATAGGTGTATGCCAAAATATAATCCACTTTCCTTTGACCATCTTTGAAGCACAGGCCATGTTTACAGGCAGATTCCTGATCCACTCCTAGAGAGCTCAGTAGCTGCAAAGGAGAAATAAAAATCATATACAATTGAGAGCATGGTAGAGGTGTGTTCTTTGCTTACATACATTGTGCTAAAAAAAATCTCCCATTTTGTCATCTCAGAAAGTTGGGTGGTATGTGTTTTAGCAACTACAGCAGGTCACTAAGTTTTTTTATTAGAAATAAAAGGCCAATAGGTGATGGGTTTATATTCGAAAAACAGCAATGGATACAGACAGCTTTCAGACACACTGTACATTACGCATATCCTATCATGGGGAACAGTTCAAACCTCTTCCAGGTTTCAATTGTTGCCCCCCTTGTAGTTGGGCTTTCCTCAGTTTCCATAGAACTTGAATGCAGTTACCCTTCTTTATCTGAATCTACAATCGCCATGAGCAAATATCAAATCAGTTTAACCATATTGACATAAAACGACATACCTAGTCCGCACCTTTTTTATTACATGCCATCATAACGAATTACAATTTTATCAGTAGGATGTGTGGTTGAAAGCTTGTTAGGACAAGGGCATTCATTCATACACAGTTATTTTATATTCTAACGATTGAGTCATCAAACTGAGCACTGCTGCGGGAGTAATTTCTTATTAACCACACAATGAATGGCTAGTTCAAATGCCTTTAGCATCTCAGAACTATACCTCAATTGACACAGCACTATTAAGGCCCATTTACACCACTGCACTGGTATAATGCACATTACAGGCATTGCTGCACTGTGGTATCATTCATTGGGGTGCGTTCATGAATGGCTACCCAATGCACCTTCAAAACATACTTGCTCTGCAGCGCACTGCAACATTCAGTAATGCACTACCACATGGTGCGGTGCACTAGCAAAAACGCAGCAGTTACTATTTTGGTCAAATTAAACACACCACAACAAACTTGGCTTGAATGGGCCCTTAGTGACCTGGTGTTAATGGCTTCTTAATTACCCTAGCCTCAGATGTTCTGCCTGTACAAAAAGACAATATGAGCAATACAGGTTTGAGTAAGCAGGAAAGCTTGTAGAGCTTGATAACATTGGATAGCTTCTTTTTTTTTCCTAATCACATTAATGGAAAGTAGCCTGCCTAGAATTCTACTTTATTTCACTATACCATTGGTCCAAAATATGCTGAGAGTTGTAACAGTCCAAAGTCTGTTCAGAACTACGTTACACAGTCTTAATTGCCAATATCTATATCTGGCTCTGAATTCCAGCAATTAGAAATGATTTAAAATATAAGAAGCAGTTTTATTGCTCTCTAGGAATGCCTTGGCTCGAGGGAGAAATAGGTTATGTTCACGATTGGAACCTGATCCCTCCAGATACTGGTAAACAGCGCTGATTCTCAAGTGGCCGGACACCCTAAGCCTTGGCATGCAGGGTGAAGACATCTGACAGGCCCAGCCAACCTGCAAACATGCCGAGGTGGACAGAAGAGGAAAATACTCTATTAGACATTCAGACTGAACAACCCAGTAAGAGGACGGGCGATTAAGTATATATGGTTTAGGCTTTTTAACAAAGAGTGAGAGGCTGAGCAGATCAAAGAAAAAAAAATTGTCTTGCTTTTAGCAAGTATTTATTTTATGTTGTAAAATTCCTCTAGAAATAGCTATTGACATAGTTTTTGTGCTCGGTCTGTAATATGTTCATAACATTTCACACAAAGCGGTTTATAGGTCTTCATTCATACATATCAAAACAAATACTACCACCACCGAGAATAAATGCTGTGAAAAGAAGAAAAAAAAAAAAAAAAAAAAAAAAAAAAAAAAGGTGCATAGTAGTAGTTTTTGGTGGATGCCTTCCTACAACTATGACGTACATCGGCAGTTAGACTGCCTTTCCTGCGTTCCTCGCCATAGCTAATACAAAGTCAAGCAAGGGCGCCATGCACACGTCTTCAGTAATGTCAACATGCGCTGCCTGAATCAAACTGCAGAATGTCCTCACATTTCTACAATTTTTGGTAATCAAGAATAAATGGAACTGAGCTCACAAATAAAATTGTTTAGGCTGGGTTCACACTAGGGCGAACCGTGACTACGCGGCAATCGCGCACGAAACGGTGCGGATGGCCGCGCAGTCACTGAATTGCACACCACCGCCGATCGCGCTGTTGGTGCCATTATTTTCTAATGGCACCCCAGGCCTGCCAAGCAGCTCACGCGGGATACCGCCTGTACAATTGCAGTTGGAAAAAAAACGTGTGGTGCGTGTCGCAAAAAAGGGGAGGTACATGTACCTTTTTTTCAATGATTGCCGCACGGATTTAACCCCATTGAAATCAATGGGGCCGTGCCCCAAGCGCTGCGTGCAAACGCGCGACCCAGTATCGCCGATATCCGAACCTAGCCCTAGCTGAAATCCTGTCTGTATTAGACTTTCAGAAGATCAGAGGTGAACAGACTTGTTTTAACAGTAAATGTAGTAGCAAGACCTCTTATAATGGCAGTGAGGTTACTGGTGTCCTTGGTTTGAATCCCGGCCAGGACACATTCTGCATTGGATTTTGCATGTTCTCCCTATGCTTGTGTGGGGTTGCTTCCACACTCCAAAGATATCCTCGAAGGGTAATTGGCTCTTGTCTAAATTGACCCCAGTATGTGAGTGAATGTATGCATGGATGGATGGATGGATGGATGGATGCATGCGAGAAAGGAACCTTAGATTGCCAGCTCCTTGGGACATGGATTGATTTGAATGTACAGTAAGTACAGTGGTGCATAAATTGTCAGCAGTATACAAATGCCAGTAATAAATAAGGTAAGGTATATTTGTGTAGATTTTTGAATGCAATTTATGGAGCCAACAGCAGAGCTCCTAGACTGGAACTGAAAAATGGCCAACTGTACTGCATTATTTATAAGGGCCAGTGTTTTGCAAAATGCACAGTACCTGCAAGCTACCGCACTGCACCACATATTAGGCACGGTGGTGCATTACATTGCCATTCATTTAAATGGTACCCTGACACACCCAGGCCCATATTTATGAAAATCACTTCTCAAGTTGCTGTATCTGGGAATGCGGGAGATGTAGGTCATGAGCCCATCATCGCTCCCATAACTCCAAACAATTGACCGCACACCACTCACACATTTTTACCCTCACAGGCTATATCATTTAGTAGCGCCATAACATGTGTTGTGGTACAGTGCAAAAACTAGTACATGCATTACTTTTTTTTCACTGCAATGCACTCACACCAAGAGGTGCGTAGGGGTGTCATTCAAAAGCATGCAGTGCATTGCGGTGTAATATTGTGCACTAAAAGCATGGGTGCCGTGCCTTTAGCCCAGTGCTATGCTGTGAACCAGTCCTAAAGCAAACTAAACATTCAAAAGTTTCCATGTGCTAAACCACTGAACTCCAACATAATGCATAAACTGCCTACAACAACCTGTATGAACAGGTATTGTCTATGGCCAAGTCCCAGGAGATCCAGCACACAGTAGCACACCACAGGGCCTATTCCAGCCTTATGCAACACCATCAAATCCTTTTTATCACAGGTATGTAAACATGTTGCTGTCATAAAAAAGGAGAATGTAGCGCGCAAAAGCCAATTAAAATGTGCATGCAATAGGCATCTCGTGTTATATGTGTATGTATTTAGAGCTAGCTACAGTAGATAATATATGTTTAAAAATATGTTTATAAAATTAGGCAACTTATATTGAATAAGACAAAATTAAATAACGGATTTCCTGTGGAAGCAATTCTTTCCTCAGTCTTCCCCAAGTTACAGAAGTATTTGATAATTGATTTACTGGAGTGTTGGGGACCTCACTGGATTCGATCCTCATAGGATGGAATGATTCTATGCCTGTTATTGTACAATGTAAAGAATAACCCAAAATGATGATACACCACCTTTGCCTTCCTAATTTAAAAGGAACTCTGTGATAAGTAAAATATATCGGCGTCGAATCCGATTCCCAAGTGAATTTAGGAAAATGGAATTACCCACCCGTTATACTTACCTTTCGATGAACACTTCTTCCCATCCGCTAGTACGGGTGTACTATCCATACCTGTGCTGCCGTGTAGCGCATCCCTGCACTATGGCTTTTGAGTTTGCAAGCGCTCATTTGGTCAGTGTAGTCACCTAACCAGAAGAGGCCAGAAAGTGAACTTACCCATCATGGGCTGTTGGCAGTGGGTGCACATTAAGGGGAGGGGGCAGTGCGGTCTGGTGTTGGTGGTGCCCTTTAAAAGGGGGATGATGCACCTCCACCCAGCTCACTTATGTTACTGCTCACCGGGAGCTAGGCGGGACACCAGCAACAGCGGAACAGGTTGATAAGAGCTCTTAGCAACATAGGACGCTCTGGCCAGAAAAGGGGGCAGGAGGCCCCCCCCCCCCAGGTGACTCAATGAGTTGCCGTCGGAGTTAACCACCCCAGGCTGACTCATTATAGGGATTGCCCTGATTCCAAGTCGTTGACAAAGTATTGAAACCGGACACAGCTAGAATTTTTAGGACTGGTAGTTCCCATACTTTCTTTAACTGCATTTGTCAGTTACAATGACCTCCAAAGAGTCAGGCTATGATACACCACAATGCCAGTCTCAAATACATTTCTGGAAACCAATTTGCTCCAACTCTGTCCTAGATTTCCCAAACATTTCTACTTGGGATGACATATCATGGGAATGGGTTCCTGGTTCCGGAAACAGAAAAATGCAAGTCTTCCCGAGGTCAAGCATGACAAGGTATAAGGACCATACTGGGTGTCTAAAAGAACAGTTTAAATAATATTTTGTGTTACAATCCAGAATCCATCTCAAACTTCAGACAAAGCAGAGACAACGCACCGGACAACATTGCTTTTCGCCACATCTGCCGCGTTAACCTGAAATCTAGCACGACCCTTCCTGTATTGTTAATGATGACACTATGAATAAACTCGCCAATTTCAGGCCGATTGATGTTTAAACAAAGTGTGAAAGTTGTATACAATGTGAAAAGCAATGGTGACCCCTTTTCATAAAAGGGA